AATTTTAAACTGATTTATTTGGGGGTGGAGGGAGGTTGAGTTTGGGGCTGCGCTTGGCTGTGCTCAGAGCTTACTCTAGGCTCTGGGCTCAGGGGTCACCCCTGGCGCCTGGAGGGCCCGATGGGGCTCAGGGTGGCCACATGCGGGGGGGGGGTCACTTATCCCTCCCCTTCCTCCCCAGCCCCTGGATAATGAACACAATGAGATGCAATTTGAGGATGTGAATCTTTTCTCCTGCTCTTCATTTTCCAAAATCCCGGTTCCGGGGCCTGGAGAGATAGCACAGCGGATAGGGTGTTTGCCTTGCATGCGGCCGAACTGGGTTCAATTCCCAGCATCCCATATGGTCCCCTGAGCACCACCAGGAGTAACTCCTGAGTGCAGAGCCAGGAGTAACCCCTGTGCATCGCCATGTGTGACCCAAAAAGCAAAACAAAACAAAAAAATAAAAAAAAAAAAAAACAAAGTCCCAGTTCCACAAGCATCTCTAGGAAACTCCCCATCCCAGAGGAAATCTCGGGGGTGGGAGGAGCGTTTGGGGGAGGGTATCCAAGACTCAGCTGTTGCTCAGAATTACCAAGTGAGAGCAGGGCATTTCTCACGACCTGGGCCACACACAACACGGCAGAACCTCCCCCATCTGTTGTATTTATTCTAAGGCCTCAGTGCCGCTGGGCAGGGGGGGCGGGGGGAGGTTGTCACCGGGGGCTACCCCTAGACCAGTCCACATGGAGATGGAAGCAGGGGTCCTACGGCCAGGCTCACTCGCTCCCCCTGTGCGCCCTCCCTGACCCTGCAGGCTTCCGGTTTCAAGATTTACTATTTACTGGGCCATCCCTAGAAGTGCTATGGGGCTACTCCTGGCTCAGTGCTCGGGGCCTACTCCCTGCTCAGTGCTCTGGGGACCATGGTGGAGGGGCTGGAAAGCAAACTAGAAGCTCCTGCTGCAAAGCCACGAAGCTCTCGGGAAGATTCCCAGGCTCTTGGAAGAATCGGCACTTCCGCCTGCTGACCCCAGGGACCCTCGGGGGTAGAAGCCACACCACGGCTCTACGGACAGCCTGGCTGAGACATGTCACCAAGACCCCAGAGCGCTTCTGTCCATGGGCTCCGGCAGCCACTGAGGCCGTGAGCTGGGCAGTAGTCAGCTTCGCTATGACCACACAGGTTGGCCGGGATGCAGCAGGTGACCAGTGGCAGGCACAGCCCTCTCTCTCACAGGTGTGTGCCGACAGAACAGGCTCCAGGTTCAATGATTCACCCAACACACACAGCAGCACCGGATGCGGCCAAGGAGAGTCCAGGGCAATAAGGCAGTGGACCCTGGCCCTCTCCTAGGTGAAGAGGACCAGGGAGGGCACAAAGTGGCTGGCAGCCTCAGCCCTCAGACTCAGCCCTCAGAGGTTTGTGTGCCCTCAGGATGCACAGAATTGGAGTTTCAATGCCTCCCTGCAGCTGGGGGGACAGTCGGGGGGCTCAGCAGGGGCATAGCCGACATGCCCGGGGTTCTGAGTTCAGTCACAGCACCAAGGGCCCTGGAGGCCTCAGTACCACCACCCCTGGGGCATGGCCCCTGAGCGACTGGGGAGGTGCCCCCACCCCCTGCAAACAAACTAGAATCCCCAGGGAAAGTCCCAGCACAGCCAAGCCCCTCAAGCCTGACTTCACCTCCTCAGGACTCCAGACAGACCCCCCCCGAAGAAAAAAAAACTTCCCTCCTGCCTTTCTCCTGGGTACCCCCCTCCCTCATCCCAGAACCAAGCTCTGGGGACCAGGGGAAAATCAGGCGAAAGGGAAGTCCCGTGGGAGAAAATGGTCCAGGAGAGGAAGAGAAAGGGGGAACCTGACCCAAAGGAGACAGGTCAGCACCAGGATGCTTGGGGACCCCCTCACTTCCGGGCCCTACTGAGACCTGAGCGCCCACCCGGCCCCCCAGCCACCGCCTTGTACCTCAAAAGTGCAGGAGCTGGGCCTGAGCGAGAGCCGGGAGGGGAGGGCATTTGCCTTGCGTGAGGCCAACCCGGGTTTGAAGCTCGGCATCCCATAGAGTCCCCCTGAGCACCACCAGGAGTGATGCCGGAACACAGAGCCAGCAGGAAGCCCTGAGCCTCACCAGGGCTGGCCCCGAGCACTATGGGACAGAGAGGCGAGGGGTCAGTGGGGAGAAAGTCCACCCTGGGTGTGACCCGGAACCAATCTGCACAGAATATCAATGCAACCAGCACCCCAAGCAAAACGCAGGCAGGAACTTAAAGACACACACATTCATACAGACACACAGACTCACATGTACGCATTCACAGACACACATTCTCACATGCACACACACACATCCACAGACACATTTCCTCTTACATGCACACACACATTCACACACTCATAGAAATGACATACAGATACACACACAGACATACACACACACACATTCACACACACTCGCTCTGGTACACACCCATATCCCCAAGTTTGCTCCCTTGCCACAGTCAGGGCTGGCAGGGGCCTGTCCTCCCGGGAGCCCCCCAAGGTACTGTCCAGTGCGGGCGGGCCAGAGGCCCCGAGCAGTGGGGAGCCCAGCTCTGTCCCCAAGGTTGAGGACAGGCCCGTAGGGCAGGTCAGCTTCCAGGCAGGCTGCCCAGCTCCTCCCCGCCCCCCCCCCTCCCTCCGCCCCCAAGTCTTATCCAGGCATCGGCCCAGATCCGGTTCCTCGTCCTCCCTCCCCCAAGGGCCGCTCCTTGGAGCTGGGTCAACAGCCGCCTGGGAGCTGGCCACTGACCCTTCCACGCCCACAGGAGTCCGTGGGCCCAGGTATTGATCACTCTCAATCACACACACACACACACACACACCTCCAAAGGTGACGGCTGTGAAGCAGCAGGGGACCAGCACCCGTGCCAGACCCTACTGGGGGGGGGGGTCCCTGCCAGGATCGCCTCGCAGGACCCCCACTGACATTTTACCAGGCACATACCTGACCACCGGGGCAGCCCCACATCAGCCCAGTAGAAGCCCAGGAGTGGGGGGAAGAGGGGAGACCGTGGGAGGCCCAGAAAACCGCAGCACCCCCTTCCCACATCAGAGGGTCTGAGACATCCCCAAATGCCCCCTCTGGCGAGCAGGCCCCCTTGATCGCGCCCCTCCCCAACTTCGCAGCCCCCCACCCAGCCGCCCTGAGAAGGTTCTCAGAGCCACACCCCCCAGCCCTTTGTGGGAAAAAGACAGCTGTCCTCAGGGCTGGGGGACAGAGTCCAAGTTCAGGGCAGGTCACCCCCACTCCTGGGTCAGTCACGTGGTCAGGTGACCTGGAGCAGGCGCTGCGGGAGGAGAAACCCACGTGGCACCCGGGCACCCTCGGCTGGCCCTGGGCCGCGGGGAGCAGGGCCGCCTTCCCGCCCAGCGGCGGGCGCCTGGGGCCACCCAGAGGACCGGCCGGGCTGGGCCCTGGTCCAACCAACGTCTTTGGGGGGAGGCCCCAGATCGGCCCCCCCCAACCCTTTCCTTTGTGCCTGGCTCTTTGTTCTCTTAAAATTCAGTCCAGCCCGCTGGTGGTCCCCTCCTTCACCCCCGCCTAGGAGAGGGGGGGAGTGGGGGGGGGGAGTTATTACAAAACCCAGCCTGGCTCCCGGCTGGGGCCCCTCATTGTTTATGATGGGGAAAGCTGTCTCGGGTCCAGATGGCCGCTGGGGGCAAGGATGGGGGGCGGGGAGGCTCCTCTAGCAGCCCAGCCCGCTCAGAGGGGGGCGCCGGGCGGGGGTGACTGGGCTTCCCTCTCCCCCACCCCGCCCTCCACCTTCATCCACTCGGCCAGGGGCGCCAACACGGGGCGCGCTGGCCCCAGCCGAGGGGCGCGGGCGCCGGCCACTGGGCCAGGGGTGACAGGCGGCGGGGCGCAAGCAGTGGACGCGCCTCCCTTCTCCCAGGGAGGGAAAAAGAAAGAGAAAAAAAAAAAAAAGGAAAAAGCAAACTTGCCCCGGCGGGGCGGAGCGGCCCGAATCTGGTTTGAGTTAGCAGCGCGCTTCGCTCCCCTCCCCCGCGCCGGGCCCGTGCGCCCCGGGACGCGCGCCCCGCCGCAGCCCGCAGCCCCCAGCCCCGCGGCCCCGGGGGTGCGTCCCGGGCCGGGCCGGGGCCCAGACGGTCGCAGGCCATTAAATCATTAACCGGCCGCTCCCGTCGGCGCCGCGTCTCCCGGCGGGCCGCTCCCGCGCGCTCCCCCCAGGACGCTCCCAGCCAGGGGGAGGGCGGCGGGGCCGCTCCCGCAGGGGCGAGGGCAGGGGTGCGGCGGGGCGGGGCGTGTTTCTTAGCCCTTCCCTACCTAGGCCCCCCAAAATAGCGCTGGCCGAGGGGCGCGGGCACCCGCCCCGGCTACCCCAGCCAGAGGATTCCGTTGGGACTCGGGGCCGAGCGACTCTGGGCGCGCGCGCGCGCGCACACGCCCCCCTCGCGGGGACCCCCCCCCATGGGAAGCCCCTCGCGCGCGCGCGCGCCGCCGCCCGGCGTCCACGCTCAGGCCAGCACGCGGCACACACGCCCCCCGACCCCCTTCCGTTCCCGGGCGCCCCCACCCCGCCCCCACCGGTCCCCGCCCCCCGCGGCGCCCGGGGCCCGCCCAGCCGAGCCCAGTCCCGGGAAGAGGAAAATGAGTCGCAGCCCCGGCAGCGCCCGCCTCGCCGCCGCCCTCCTCCCGCTCCTCCTCCTCCCCCCGCCTCCTCCCCCTGCTCCTCCAACCCGCGCTGCGCGGACACGCGGGGACCCCACCCGCCCTCGGGCCGCCCCGCACGCGCTCGGGTACCCCCCGCGCGGCTACCCGGGCGCGGTGGGTGCGCGTCGGGGGTTCCCGGCGTGTCCGCGGCGCGCGAACGCGGCTCTTTGATCGCCCCCAACGCCCCAAGACGGGGGTCCGAGCACCCCCCCAACACACACACACACCCAGCGGCGCGCCCCCTCCCCGAACCTCCCACTCCGGCGCGCCCCCCGCCCCGCAGGCCGCGCGCGCCGGCCCCTACCTGGGTCCCGGGGGGCGCGGGCGCCCGGCGCGGGGGGCGCGGCGCGGCGCGGGCTCGGGCGGCCCATGTCTGCGGCCGACTGTGTCCCCGGCTCGCTCGGGTTTTCTGGGCAGCAGCGGCGCGGACACGCCCCTCGCGGGCTCCTCCCGCGCCCGCTGACGTCACGGCGCGGCCGCAGCCAATGGCACGGGGCCCCCGCGCCCGGCCGCTCGGCCTCCGACGTTCAAATCCGAAGGGCCGGGCCAGCGGCCAGCGTGAATCCGCGGCGCCTCCGGACCCCCGTCCCGGGGGCTAGCGCGCCCCCCACCCCGCCCCCCGCTCCTCCTCCCCAAGGCTCTTTCTTTCGGGCAAGGCCAGAAATCAATAGCCGGTGCCCAGCCCGCCTGTCCAGCGCCTCCCAGGATGCAGGAGGATGAAAGATGGGGCGCCCCGTCTGTGGACCACTCGGAGGGGAGAGGTGGGGGCGAGGGAGCCGCTTTCCAGGCCAGTCCCAGGCGGGTTCAGCCCTTCTATTATTATTATTATTATTATTTTGGGTTTGGGGTCCGCACCCCCAGTACTGTCCCCAAATCTGCTCAGGGGTCACCCCTGGCGGGTGCTCTTGGGGACCTCTGCAGGAGTAGGGGGTCCAGCTGGGGGTGGGCCACATGCAAGGCAAACTCCCTCCCTCCCACACTACCCCTCAGAACCCACCCGCGTGCTTCCAGCTGCTCCTGGGCTTCGGCCTGCTCCTGCCGGGAGGTTGAAGGTTTGAGTTCCAGCCCTGGACCCTCAGAAGCAGCCCTGGGCTGGCTTTTCCCAGGCGCGGCTCCCCGTGATGGAAAAATCATTCCCATGGCCGCTGGCTGAGAACCAGGTTCGTGGACGGACAGTGCAGAGTTGAAGTCAGTTCTCTGGCTGCTGGCTGCCCGGTTGGTGGTCCCAGACTTAGCCTTCCTTAGAGACCCCTGAACAGTCCCTTGGGGCGGTTCCCCCCCCCACGCCTGGAGCCCAGCGGTTGGCCTCCCCCACCCCCCGCCCCCCACCTACCTCTCCGGCAGTCGCAGCAAACGTCTGGAGAAGGGGCCTGCGTCCCCCACTCTCTTTCCCTCTGTTTTTAACTCGTGGTGTCCTTTATGGCTCCTTTAGTACTTTGTCCTCGCTGCACGGGCGGGAGGGCTGCTTTTCCTGCTTAGATCACAGATCTGTCACACGCGCCGCCCCTGTCACTCTATGGTGCCACCTCTCCACCACATCCAGGGCTCTGCCTTTGAGGCTCCTCCCAACAGCCCCAGGGATGCAGCCCAGGGTCCAGGGTATATGCAGGTGTGTGTGGGGGGAGTCAGTAACCAGCCCTGCGTGGTTTCGTCCAGTCCAGCTCTGCAGGTGTGACCTCCAAAACAAGCAAAATGACCCTAGAAATCAACGTGAGGGCTGGGAGAGCACTGGGAGGGGCTGGAGCATGTGATTTACATGCCGCCACCCTGGGTTTTGCATTGGTTGGGTGCTTGGAGCTCATCTGTGGCTCTGTGCTCAGGGGTCACTCCTGGAGGTGCTCAGGGATGCATACAAGCAAGGGCCAGCCCAAGGAGCTTGATCCAGGGCACCACCTGGTCCTCTTAGCACCGCTGGGAGCAACCCCAGAGCACTGAGATAGGAGTATCCCCAAGTATCGGTCTGCCCTCCTCCATGTCCCCCCCCAACACACACAGATGGGGCCAGAGTGATAGGACAGCGGGGAGGGTGTTTGCCTTGCACATGGCTGACCCGGGTTCGATCCCCAGCATCCCATACTATCCCCAGGTTTGATCCCCAGCATCCCAATGTGGTCCCCTGAGCACACCACCAGGAGTGATTCCTGAGTGCAGAGCCAGGAGTAACCCCTGAATACCACTGGGGGTGGCCCCCAAACAAGCAAACAGAAAAAAGATGGGACGGATTGCCCGCCTGTAAGATTCCTAGAACGATGCAAACCTCCTCGCTCTGAAGCAGCTCGTGGCTCCTTCGTCGGCCTCTGCTTCCTGAGGCTGTGACGAGGCTGTTTTCCTTCTGCCAGACCAGAGCTGTCTATTGATAATCAGAGGAAATTAATGCAACGAAAAGCATGAAGCTTGAAATCGCTGGCAGGTTCTAAAGCCCCTGACTTTGGAGAGGGATTTGAGGTCTTAGCCGCACCTTGGTTGAAACTTGACCTCTAAGCCGTTAGGCCTGGACGTGTGTCTCTGCCTGTCGGAGCTGCCCGGGCCTGTGTGATCCTTACAGCTGCACGGGCCTGCCCCGAGCCCCGGGGACTCCCAGCTCCCAATGTTGGCTAACACGGGGAGCGTTTCAGGGCCTCTTTCATCCCCATCCTAAAAGCCCTTTACGTGGGCTGATGCTGGATTGCTTGTTTGGCCACACGGGGCGATGCTCAGGGCTTCCTCCTGACTCTGCACTCCAGGACCACTCCTGGCGGTGCTCAGGGGACCCTATGGGATGCCAGGGAACCCTATGGGATGCTGGGAATCGTACCTGGCTTGGCTGTGTGCAAGGCAAGTGCCCTCCCCGCTGCGCTATTGCTCTGGCCCCTGATCCTGTTTTGAGGAAGTGAGTCCTGCACCCTTGTTCCTCATTCCTTTTGTCTTGTCAGAGAGGGTTACTCTGGGGTTACTCCTGGCTCTGCACTCAGGAATCACTCCTGGCGGTGCTCAGGGGACCATATGGGATGCTGGGAACCGAACCCGGGTCGGCTGCGTGCAAGGCAAATGCCCTACCCTCTACTCTATTGCTCCAGCCCCCAGAGCGGGACCTTTGAGAAAAAGTTTCTGTGACTCCCCATCTCGTGCCTGCACCCCGCCCTGTTCCCCCTCCCTCAGAGGTTAGGAGACAGGGATGGGGGTATCTCGGGGTGTTCCCAGGGCCTGCTGGCAGCACACTTTGGTGGTAGATCTTGGAGGCCCTCCCTGTTCTGAGCAGTTTCCTCCCCCTTCTTTGTTTCCTGTTCTCAAGACCCCCCCCCCCTACACACACACACACCCCGAGGCCTTTCCTTGCTGGGACAACCGCTAGCCGCCAGATTGGGAACCCCCCAGAATACCAGAGAGCTAGAGGCTCAGGGCAAGTGCTCTAGCGCTTTCTCCTACCCTCCTACCAAGTGTACCTCCCCACTCAAATAGCAAAGCATCTGCAAGGGCACTGGGGCCAGCAGGACATCCAACTGGTATGTGAATTGAGTCCCCCAGGGCCAAGGGCCATAAAGGCCCTTGGCCTGATGATTGGGTGTGTCCAGAGCCCCTCCTGCTTCTGTCCCCTGCCAGTCTGCCCCTGGCTCTGTTAAGTGACCCCTTCCATGACCTCCTGGGCCTGGCAGGGTCACGCATTCTTCCAAAACCATCTCTCCTGGGCTGGAGCGATAGTACTGTGGATACCGTGTTTGACTTGCACGTGGCAGACCGGGGTTCAATCTCTGACATCCCAGAGGGTCCCCTGAGGCCACCAGGAGTGGACCCTGAGTGCAGAGCCAGGAGTCAGCCCTGAGCACTGGCCGGATGTGGCCCCCAAAGCAAAATCACAAAAGGACAAAGTTGCTGGCTCAGATAACTCTGAGTTGAGCAGACTAGAGACTGGCTGGAGGGACCCAGGAGACTGGAGGGGGCCAGGAAGGGGACAAGGTGGGCCTGGCGGAGTTGGCAGAGCAGAGTGGCCGTGGAGGAGAGCCTGGGTGTGGGGGACTGTGGCCCTGGGTCCACTTAGCGTGTCTGCGTCCCGCCTGACCCCACACAGAGGAGGTTATTCGGAGAGGTGTTGGTTTTCTGAAGGATGTGAAGACCCGCTCGCTCTGACATTCTGTCTGCCAAGAGGAACTGCAGGCATGCGCCCTCTGCCAGGGAACACGCAGATGGCATGACCCCCGCCTCTCAGCGGTCCTGGCTGGCACCGGGTGTGGCCAGGGCAGTCATACTTGGGCCACGTCCAGGCTGCCGTCCAGCTCACCGAAAGCCTTGTTTGTCCACGGGAGAGAAGAGGGAGAAGGGAGACGGAAGTCGAGCTTCGAGCTCCTCGGCAAATCAGTGACCATTTGGAGGACTTTCTGGGCCCAGGGATGTTGTGTGGCAGCAGATTTGTGGGACTCAGGGCTTCGCCTGCCAGGGACCCTCGGGCCTCCAGGGAGAACCTGGCCTTGTCCTTCTAGAAGCCCCTTCTTGGTTCCTGAGCTTGGGCCTATCCTGGCCTTGAGTGCTGCTGTTCTCACGAGGTGTCTCCTGAGCCCACCAGGCCGGGCTCTCTCCTCTGGGAGCACATGGGGACCCCCCTGTGCTGTGGGTGTGAGCCCGGGGCCCAGCATGAGCTGCTCTCATGACCCAGCCAGGACTGACTGCAGCTGCTCTGAATGAAGGCCCCCTTTTTAAATTTTATTTTATATTTTGGCTTTTCGAGTCACACCCGGCGATGCACAGGGGTTCCTCCTGGCTCTGCACTCAGGAATCACTCCTGGTGGTACTCAGGGGACCCTAGGGGATACTGGGAATCAAACCTGGGTCGGCTGCATGCAAGGCAAACGCCCTCCCCGCTGTGCTATGGCTCCAGCAGGCGCCCCCTCTAGACCCTCTGGGACAAGTTTGTTCCCGAGTATCCCTCCTCCCTGGGGTTCAGAGGGACCCACCTGCCCAGAGTTTCCTGGACCCAAGTTGATAGAACAGAAGGAGCAGGTGTATCTGCCAAAGCTTTCCTGAGAAGGGAGTTTGGGGGGGGGGGCAGGGGGATGCACTTTCTGTGGTTTCTGGAGAGCAGCCCCCAAGAACTCAGGACCCTCCTGAGCTTCTGAGGAGTGGGAAAAAGGAGGGCCTGGGGCAGGAAAGCACTCGCGCTCCCAGAAATGTCTCTTCTTCCCGAGTGTCCAGCTAGAGGCCAAAGCAGCTGCCAGTGGGTCCCCTGGAAACAGTGGGGGTCCCTGTCTGGAGGCAGCTGGGTCCCCCTCCGGTGGGGGGCTTTGTTGTGGACCAGGCCTCTCCCTCTTAGCCCATGCTGGAGCTGCTACTCTTTCATTTGGGGGCCACACCCAGCAGTGCTCAGGGCTTTCTCCTGGCTCTGCACTCCGGAACCACACCTGGCAGTGCTCAGGGGACCC